CCCTTCTCCTCCTCTACTAAATAAGATAAATTTTACTGCAGTAACCGACTATTCTGCCGCTCCCTCCCTGGTCTTTCTGTCCCGTGCTATTTTTCAAGAAACTTGTGGACCAAGCTTCCCCTTTGACCCGTCCTTAAAATCCGTATAATTTTCAAATCACCATGTTCCCATTCGATTCTTACCAATATCACATACTGCCATAATATTATCTCTCGTGACCTCATTTTTGTGCAACAAATAAAGCTTTATTCTTTTTATTGCTTTCGAACCTCGACGCTCATCGCAAAAAATCATTCTCGCTGCGATGTTTTCCTCACGGGTTGCGCAACAAAAAAAAGATCGTCGCCGTAGGGCCTGTTATGCCGGGAGAAGGGGCAGCAAATAAAAAAAATCACCTCACATAAACAGGTGGGGTCGGAGGGGGGAAATGGAAATTGAATGACTAGTCATAGATATCGACCAATCTGGGCATTCAGGAGGCGCTTCATTTCTGATGATTTTGCTCTTATTTTACTAGTTTTTATTAGATTATTTTTATTGCTTTCGCGAATTTCTTTGGTGCATTTCTTTTAGGCAATACGGTAAGGTTTAGCACCGCAACGATTGCCCACAATTGTTAGACAGCTCATTAAATTTTATCTTCAATTTTCAAAAGAGTGATGTGAGCACTTTGCCAATATATATCGGGTTCAAAACACGACCAAAACGGTCCATCTCTTTACTAGCAACAAAATCCACGTTGAAACTTGTCAAAACAACAATCTTAAAACCCAGTATTAAAAATACCATCTCCCGATACCGCATAAATATGCACACTTGCCTTCCCATCTATTGCCATGAAACGCCCCAGCATCCTGAAACATGTGGCGTTTATGGGCCTGTCGTTTTCGGCCTCACCTAACCGATCAAAGGGCTTGTTTATATAAGAGTTGATTTGTAAATGTGTTGGATGACCCCGACCAGGAAAATAGTTGCCCGCCCGGTAATGAGACTGGGTGGCCACCATCTGGAGGGTCGTCACTTGATCCGCGAAAAACGTCTAAAACTCTGTTTTTATCGCCAGGAACTGGCCACTCACCGGCTCGTGTTTTACGCCCCAAAATTTTCAATGCCTTTGAATTTAAGGCACAAGTTATATTCGTGTTTTAGTACTAGTTTTAGCGGTTGGCACGAAATGGCTCCCGATGCAACAGGGTCACCCAAGGGTGTTGTAGCGACCGAGATCCCATTTTCCACCCAGGACACACCATGCGAGGAGAAAATGTAGGCAGCCCTCTGTAAATTTGGAAAATGGAGGCAATGGCACTGCTTTAGACTGGTACAAGCGCCCAAAACCCGCTTCGCGGGCCTTGGGTGCTGTGCGGCTATCTTTGCATGAGAAATTGGCTTGCCGATGGCTCGGGTCCTGCGGATGCTCCCCCCCCCCCCTGCGACCACACGCGCGCGCAACTCGCAAGAATGAGCAAATTCGTATTTTTCACATTATGCAAATTAGCCGACCCGGAACCCCAAAAATCGGCTCTACCTTTTTAAACTTGTACCAGGGTCGAAAAGCCGCTACGCGGCTTTTCACCCCTGGCCTTTGGGGGAGATCTTTTGAACTTTGTATAATTCTGGGAATTTAGCGCCAACCTCTCAACCCTAAAAAAAAAAAACCCACACCGAATAGGGTACAAAAACCGAAATAAGCTTTACCTCTTAAGCAAATGAGCTTATTCTCACTATGTTTTTAATTGGCTAAAATAAGGTATAAATGCCGTCATTTCGGTGCGTCTTCTTTTTTTTTTTTTCGGGTTTCCCCCCCCCCCTTTTGAGCCATTTACTATTTTTTATATAGGGTGGGATGTATACCGACCCACCCCCCCCCCCAAAACCCCCTCCAAACCCCCCTCCCAACCCCCCCCCACCCCCCTAACCCCCCCCCCCCCCCCTAAACCCCCCCCCACCCCCTAAAACCCCCTCCGAACCCCCAAAAAAACCCCCCCCCCCTCCAACCCACACCCCCCCCAACCCCTAACCCCCCCCCCCTTTAGGGGTTTAGGGGTTACGGGGGGTATAGGTAGGATGGATCTCCCCCCTTCTTTATTTTCTATACCGTCGTACAGTTGTTGATCGACTCCCGAGCAAAAATGTTCGTTGGCTATGTTCGGAAAGAAATCACGAAAGTGTGGCAATATCCGTAGGCATGTTCCTTTGGTCCGTATCGTGCTGGAGAAAAATTTACTCCTCCCATCCCCGTTAACAGGCAAGCACCAAAAAACTTACCTGGCAGATCACCCGACCGGAAAAACACCCCGGACCGAATTACCAAAAACTCTCAAACCCACCGCAGCAAAAAAAAGGAAAAAAACCAACACGCCCCAACAAAAAGTGGGCGGGGGTTAGAAAAAAACCAGAACCTTTTTAACAGCGAAAATGGTAATTTTTGAAAATCCCTTCGCGTCTTTTGAACGCTCTGCAACTTTTTTCCCCCCCCCCCCCTCAAACGGGGCCTTTGGAGGTTTTTGATTTGCACCTCGCTTCTCCCACAAACCGGTACGGAAAAAAGAACCCCCCTCTCCGCCGATATAGGCTATTTCCCACTTCCGGCGTATGCTAATTTCCCTAACAAACAGGGTTTTACAAAAACCTATTTTTAATAGCGAAAACCACAATTTTTCAAAATTTTTTTGTGTTTGTGCAGTCGATTCCGGCCACCCTTCTAAGCCCACTGTCGCTTCTCCTTTCTAAAAAACCTCCCCGAGGCTGTAGAGGGAACATCCTAACGGAAGTGCATGCAAAAAAACCAAAAAAACACAAAAAATTATTTTTTATATATAGTAGGATTTTATCGAAATTTCGAGACCGCCATCTTAAAGAAGAGGGTCGATTCCCCGTAGTGACGGAGAATTAGGGCATTTTATACACATCAGGGCCCAAATCGGGCCTTGACAGTGGCATCCACACACAAAGACGAAAATACGCGCCAAAACGATATAAGGTAGGATTTTAAATTTAGCGACACCGATCAAAACAAGAGAGCCCCGGTCAATCGCCCAGCATATCGTGTTCATCGCCGTTGTCCTTCTGGGTTGGTTCCCTGAGCTATTGAAAATCTGTTCGTGGTGCTTTCAGTACTTTCTCCATTCGTAATGGGCTACCGATATTTCCGAAGGAAGATGCGCGCGAGGCGCAAGGACACTGCGCATCAAAAATTTCTAGGTAGAACTAACACCCAACGATCACCTAAAGGATGCTTTCAGAAAGAAAATGAACATAAAATCGATATTTTAGGCCAGCAAGCACACCAGGCGCCGAAACTCAAGACGCGGATTCCACCCCAAAAGATGGAAAGCACGCTCTATGCAAGGTAACAAGTCGAATTTGAACAAGTCGAATTTTTGTGTTTAAGAAGCCAACAAGCCGCAACCTGTTGACCCGGATTCTGGTTAGGCTGAAGCTTACCACGCCCTCACCCGGGCTGCTTCTCTCCTCGGATCTTGAAACATTGGCTGAAGAGGATCGGCATTTTGGGCCTTCCACGACTTTCATCGATAACGCGACATTAATGACCCCTATTATACCCTGAATAGGCTAGGAATCTCTCAGGGAGTGGAAATAATTCAGGGGTTGGGGTGCTGGGTACTCGATAAGGTACCGCACCGTTTCGCTTATGTCTTTTAACCTTGTAGGTTTCATCTTCCTACTCACGGCCTAGTTATGATTTGCATGCCATTCCTCTCTATTCCCCCGTTATCCACATTTTATCTTGGCTGGGCCCTCTCCGCCCGCTGACTGTACCGTTGAATAAATTCCTTTCCTCTTGATCGATCCGTCCCAATACGGCCGTCGTCCATACGGCTGGGGCCTATGCCCTTATTTCAAACGTTTTGAGATGTTTTTGACGCTCTTTTCTTTTCGCTAATTATATAATTTTTCCGAGAACTATGATGAAACGGCCTCTTAGAGCCTGGTATTCTTTCTTTTTAAGAATGGTTCCTAAGCGGGTGAGCCCGTTAGAACCGCTCACCACCTATCAGATCTCAAAATCTAACATTTCTGCCCCGACTGGTTGATTTTTGTTTTGTCTTCCTTCTGGGCGGCTCGCCTCGGGTTGTACTGTCTGAAAAACATTGGGCCCTCCCTGGGACTCGATTGGGTGAGTCACTCCCCCGCCCACAAAAGATACCATCATAGCCCGGTTTCCATTTGCTCATTTGCATCCAGCCCCTCACTTCTCGCTCATCCCAGGGCCACCATCCACCTCGGGGTCCCCACCCAGTTCACAAAAACTTTGACGGGTGTCTTGCCGCCCTAGCTTCTGCTCATGGTGCCCTGAATACTAAGCAAAATATGGATGCTATGCAGATCTATTTGGGGACGCAGGCGTGCGATCATAGGCGTGTTAGGTTCAAAACGTTGTCCCAGGGTCGTTATTTTGAATTTTAGCTGTTGCTACAAACCGTTCCCTGCTCAAAATGTTGACAACTGTTACTATGAAAAATTATCGACCCGTAAGCCGAGGCCCGGGCCTAAGCTAATTGTAAGCATGAGCCTGACCCTCAATGTCCATTCAGTGCCAACCATGGGTAAAAGTCAAGTCATGGTCTCCTTTACTTTTCCGAGTAGTGAGCCCCGCCGCTCCTACCCATTTAGTTTTGTATACCCTCTTTATCTATTTCGGCAACATTTTATATATACATATTTTTACACTTTTTGCATATCTGTTGGATCGTAACCCTGTGTTTTTAAAACGGCTTCTCCCGAAACGACTCCGCCCCACAGAGACCACGCCCCGTGTTTTTCCCTATGGATTTTTTTACCTTAAATTTACTGCATATTTTGACCCTGACTTAACCTCTGTTTACTAGAATTTGGCGCAGTCATTATTCTACCTATTTCCAGCTTAAAATTAGATCTTTAAGTGGTCCTTGTCCCTCCAATCACATCTGGGTTTTATAGGCTTGCTGGTCGAACTTGACGTACTATTTTTGCACAAGAACGGCCAGAAGTCGGCGGCCATGGAGCGCAATGACAATTTCGGCAATAACTGGCGGTAAGGAATAGAAAATCAGGCAAAAATAACGTTGAGAACACTTGAGAACACTATTTCCCTTGAGACGAACCCGTGAGAACACTATTTAATCCTATGTTTTCAGTCGCGACGGACAGCCACCACCAGATATGAATCGTGGATACGGGCAAGGCTGGAACGATGCAATGAGTGCAAGATACTCATGGTACGGACAAATCCCTCCACAGCTACAAAGGCCGCTGGCCCCTAATGGACTACTGCCACCTCTTCTCCCTGGAGTGTACGCGAATCCAATGGCTGGTCGTCTTCCACCACCGATGGCTGCCGGCTTCTTTCCGCATCAAATGTCGGCACTGATGCAGAACCAAATGCAAATTGGCCCGAATCCCAATATGATGACAGCCTTAGGTGCTCCGACAATTGCCATGCTTGCTCAGCAACCCCAGCCCTTTCGCACCTTCGGCCCGAACAGCGTTATCTCTGCGCCCCCTACTCTTCCTTACGCTTCGATGCTAGCTGCTCCTCAGCAACCGTACCCGGGGTTGTCGCCACAGATTCAGGGTCGTACTTCGTCGACGTCAGGCCGTCACGGAGCATTTCGACGGCCGAGGACACTTCCCGCCCCTCCGAGCCATCCATATTCGAAATCGCGCCAGAAGCGTGGGAATCAGTCCATGCCAGTCTTGACTCCTCAGCAGCCAATTCAACAGCAGCCAATTCAGGAGCAGCCGGAGCAACCACAAATTGTTCAAGTACAGCAGCAGTCCCTCGTACAGCAGCAAGCAGCCCCGACCGGCGAAGAAATTCTGGTTGCTCGCATGTTGGCCCACCTTTCAATGCTCAATCTTAATCCTCGGCCCAACAATAACACTCAAAATGTCGTTGCTGTATCGACTCCAGCGCCTCGATGTCCATGGCGGTGAGTTCGGTCATTTTTCTCGAGTTTCCCGTGTAAGTTGTCATTTTGACGCTTTAAAAATTATTCATTATGAACTTTCAGCAGCGCCACCCCTCCGATGATTGATGGTCAGCCCGGGTACACCACGGCCCTCCCGATCTGTAGCCAACCGTAAGCCGTTTGCTTTGCAAAAATTTTTTCAAATTTGGTTCCGAAAATTTACTCAAGACAGTCCAATGTTGTTCTCTAAATAAATTTTTCAGCTCTTTCAACTCCAGCTTGTGGCCAGCCTCGCAGGCGCAGTGGATGCGGTAGGTTTGACCAAAAAATCAACTGTATCTATAAAATAAGTATCTCGCCCGCCTCTCAGAACAAAATAGCTACTTACCGTCGGTTTTAGCGCTTTCAACCAAAACAACCCGCTACCAGAAACGAATTCAATTGTCAACCCTACACCGACTGCTTGGCCTCTGGCGTAGGTTTTCCTAAAACAGTTAAATGGGTCAAAAAGCGTTAAGCTAAAAATTTTTATCCTAATATATATAAAAAATAGTGGCTGTGTGTTTGTGAGTGCCACTCTGTTTCTATCCGTCTGTCTGTCCGGAAGATACCTCGCTAGGGGATGAATTTTAAGTAGGTATGATACAGTTTGTCAACCCCTTTTCCCCTCCTTCCCCGCCCCCTCCCCCGCCCCCCCCCGCCTTCCAAAACCCCACAACATTATATTTAAATTTTAAATGTTGGCCACCCACCCCCCCCTCCCCCCCCCTTTTCCAAAACCCCCTTATCAAAAATCCCCCTTTAAAAAACCCCCCCCTCCCGAAACCACATTCCCCCCAAAAAAAAAATTCCCCAGAAAACAACTCCTTAAAAATTTCCCCCCTTTAAAATTCCCCCCGTTAAAAAAAAACCCCTTTTAAAAAAACCCCCAAAAAATTAAAAATTTTTTTTTAAAATTTTTATTTTTTTTTTTTTTTTTTTTTTTGTTTTTACCCCGATTATAAAACTAAAAAAAAAATATCCACAGCCTACTCCCCATCCCCCCCCCGCACCCAGGGGCGCCCCCCCCCCCCCAAGGGAGACCCCCAACCGCCCCCGGAGGCCCCCACCCAAGAACCTTTACCCCGCCCCCCCCTCTAAACCTATATTTAAATTTTTAATTTGTCCTTTTTTTCCTTTTTATTTCTTTTTTTATTTAATAAAAAAATTTTAATATTTTTTTTTTTTTTTTTTTTTTTTTTTTAAAAACCCTTTTTTCCAAGATCCCTTTTCCTTTCAACCCCCCCTTTCCGGTCCATCTCTTGGGGGCCGATCTTTTTCACAATTTTTTTTCACCAATTTTTTTTTTCCGAGGGTTTCCTTAAAGGGGTTTTTTTCCAAGATTTTTTTTCAAGGGGAAAAAACGCCCGTCACTCCCTCTTCCCTCCCCTCACAAAATTTTTTTTTTCCCCAATTCCCAAATTATTTTTCTAAATACCCGGAAAAAAAATTTTTTTTTTCTTTTCCGGGGTGGGGGCGCGCCTTATCTTTTTTCCCATTTCTCATTTTTAAATTGAATTTTTTTTTTGTTTTCTTTTTTTGGGGGGCTAAGTTTTCCCTCCAGGGAGCGGGGCCTTCCCCCGCGCGCGTAAATTTTTTGTTTCTTTTTTCTTGCGCGCTCCCGCTTCCTGGGTGCCCTTTAATGTGTTTTTTTTTTTTAAAAATAAAAATTTTTTTTAATTTTTGTTGCGAACCCGAAAAGGGGGGGGGGGGGGAAGGGGGCCCAAAAAAGTAAATTTTTTTTCCTGTGTTTTTTTTCCCCCGAACCCCCCCCCCACCCCCCGAAACCCCCTCCGGGGGGGGGAAAAAAAAAGTTTTTATTTTTTTGCCGGTCATTAGGTGCGCAACCGTCTTGAGATGACTGCACATATATCAGATTTTACAAAATCAGCGGTTTTCGACATTAAATTTAAATTTTTGTGAAAACTTATCCTTTAACTTTGTAATTTTAGTGGTGCTCAGCTTCCGCCGTTGATGAACAACGCCGTTCAGCAGGTGAATGGCCTGGAGGAATTCCTCAACGGACTCAAGTAGGGTTTTTCGCAACGCCAAAAGAAAACTCAAGCCTTATCAGACCAATTTCTCTTTAGTAACGTCTCTTCATCGACAGGGAACAGCAGCAACTTTGCCGCGGAGCACATAAGGCAAGCGATCCCGAAGTAACTACATTTATCTGCTCAAGGGTTTCTTAGACCTGAACTAACCTAAAAATCTCAATTCGTCATTTTGACCTGAATTCTCAAGAAATTATTATAGAGCGCCCCGAAATGACACGGACGAAGAGGACGAATAGGATGCAATCAGTTTCAGGTTTCTTTAATTCTCGATTTGTTTAGCTTTTTCATTCGCGCCGGTTTTCCAAAGAAAATCGAATTTTAGTGACTAAATGTGCAGATGACGCAAACCCCGGAGGACTGCGCTTCGCCCCTGATTTTTTTTGCTGCTACCGTAGCCTTGTCAGAAGTTTCGGTTCTGGTTCGTTAGCGGGGGCGGGGTATATCCAGGGGGGGGGAGGGGGTAGTGTCGTAGAGTTTTCAATATGTCACTGTTTTTAGCGAATCGCGACCCGGTAGGGCATCACAAAATACATGGTTTTTAATCTTAGATAAAAACACTGTGACTTAAGAAAATTGTAACAAAGGCAAAAGCCCTGAAAATCGGGTTGGTAAGCTATTTTTTGGGAATTCCTATATTTTCGATATTCTGTTAACGCTACTGCATAGAACATAAAAAATATAAACAAGGAGTTTAATATGCAGCTCGAAATAAGGTAATTTAATAAAGATAAACTACGGGCAAAAATTGCTCCCTCGATAAGCTTCACACCCGCTAACCAACCAGAACCAAAGTTTCAATTTTACAAAATTATTCCGATAACATAGTATTCGCTTGACCCTTGGCAGCAATGATCCCCAAACTCATATTTCGATCAAGCCCTTTGTTTCTTAGCTAAAATCTGGCCTAATCTTCTATTGGTCGACAATAACCCTCGGGTTTTTACTGTGGTTTTCATAGATCGGTGCCTTAAGCGATTTAGTCAATCATTTCTGTGGTTTTGTCCTGGTAGGTTTAGCTTTCCCGAAAAACTCTTCGAAAAATATTGTAGAATTGTTTGCACTCCGATGGAAAGCTGAACTTGCGTATTTTTCTGCCGCCTTGTACTTTCCGATTTTTTTAAATTATGATGGTTTCACAAATTTCCGATGATAATCCCGAAAATCGGATTCCCGTAAACCCGTTTCCCGAAAAATTGGATTCCCGAAAATCTGAATTGCGAAACTATAGACAGACGAAGCCTAAAAATCGGTAGTCATATTTTCTGGATCCACATTTCGGGAATTTAATTTTTCGGGAATCCGTTATTCGGAAGTATAAGCGAACCCCTTTCAATCAACGCGCAATCGCCTAGTATTGGAAATGTCGCATCCTTCTGATATATCCTTATCCGGTGCGGATTCAAGTACACCATGGATAGAACGGTAGATAGAGAAAGAAAAATAAGAGTGAGAGAGAGAGAGAGAGAGAGAGAGAGAGAGACCGAAGTCGCGAAGCAGAACATGTTCAACTGCCGCTAATCCCGTTCACTATTGATTTCAACCGTTCGTTTTGATTTTATTCATTGCCTACATACTTCCGACATTCCATGAAGACGAATAGAGTCCTATTCGCAATACATTGCTCGTGGTCGATCCCGAAAAGAGCGACTTTCAATGACTTTCATGTGTTCTTTTTATGTGTATGGTATGCCTTCACGTGTTTTCGGTGATCATTTCGCGGCTGAAAGTAAGGGAATAGTGTCATCTTTTCGTTCTCCTAGGAGTCCCTAGGAAATAGCCTGCTATTCCCTTTATATTCCCTTTCCCCCATTAGCCATTTTCCAATGTATTTTTCGAACTCTTCACGTTTTTTTCCTTTAGCCCCCTTCTCGGAAAAATTGTGTTCCTCCTCCGATCTATTGCTTTTGAGCTGATTAAGCAGAAGCCTTTCCCCCATTCTCTACTGCTCCACCACTTCGTTGTTTCCATTCCATGATCTATTGCCTGCCCCTTGATTCTTCGAGATTAACAATGGATGCCGCCTTTTTTCTTTGTCTAATCTTTCTCTCGTAAAATTTATGCTTTGGAAGCTGCTGATAGTTTTCATATGCTCGAGTCATATTGTATCCGAATTGTCGGGGGAGAAGGATCAAATCAGCGCATTTTCGAAAAAGTCGGTCAGTACTACTTTCCAAAAATGCTACGACCCTTCTAACCTTGTTTTCACTAATTCACCCCTTTGAATAAATCTTGTAAAACAATTGATCAAATTGCATCTTCGAAGCCATCTGTTGGTCAGTCCGAACATGGAAGCAATTTTTTACAAATAAAAAAATTTATTCAATAACGAAAACGGCCCTTTGATACCCTGAATGAAATCGTGGTTCTACGGGAGAAGAGACCAAAGGAATTTTATTTCCCGTATAAGCATTAGAATGGTCCATGAAACAAAAATAAAAAGGTAAATTTTGGTAAATTTTGGAAAGAACGAGAGACGCGTCGATATTCAAAGAGCAAAAATTATTCCTTGAGCGGCTTGACGACTGTGTTCTCGTCCGGCAGTGAGTGGATTTTCTTCTCTTCCAGAGCAAGCTCCTTCTCCTGAAAAATCGAGGTTCTTTGCGAAAAGGACACAAAAACTTCGTAATTTCCAAGCATTAAAAATCGAATGCGGGGCAAAAAAAGACTACTCTATGGGGATAGGAGATACAAGCAAGAGTTTCACACCACCGCAACTTACAGCTTATGTTAAAAGTCATCCTGCCCCGCAAAAAGCATGGTGGGAAAAGACAAGAGGCTCACCTTGTCTCCACGAGCGCGATTCGTGTTCTCGGCCTCCATACGGCGGTAGATGGGGCGGAAGAAAGCAATAAGGACAACGGCGAGCACAAAGGCGACGGCCTAAAATGAAAGTTTAGTACTCAATCTCCTTGAGGAAAGAAAGGCAGTAAAACTAAACCAACCGAAAAGACCATGATCGAGATCGTAGCGTCGTTAGGGACGTTGTCCAAATCAGTGGCGCTGGTGCGGCAAACCTGCAAAGAGATTATTATACAGAGAAAAAGCTAGTAACTTTTACTGGTGTGCTAGAACCCGCATTAAGCAAATCTGTCTTCTCAATCTGATCGAAAACACACCTGAACATTCTCCCTATCGACGCCTAGCGGGCGGTACAGCTTACGCATCATCATGACGTAGATGATCGATTGAACCTAAAAATTGTAATAATTGGAGCAGTAATAATTCATTATACCTGTCCAACAAGAACGATGAGCCCAGTCGAGGTCTCTTCAGAAACTGGATAAGTGCATTCAGACGAGAGCTGTAGTCCAACAGGGTAAGTGGCCAGTCCCATAATGCCGAAAGCGAGCACCGTCGGGATGATCCATAGCTTCAGGTCGGCGCGCAAGGTTAACTAAAATGAAAATTTGTAGATGAGAAATTAAAAGTTATACAAATGAGAAAGAGGTTAAACACACCTGCAAGAAGATCAGTCCAAAAATTACAGCCACGCCCATCGCAATCTTAATCGTCTCCGCATAACGCTTTGTGCGATCAACGATGATTCCTAAAAAATTCGATTGAAAAACGATGACCAATTGACCAGAGCAGGTTGCTCCAACCAGACCACCGACGATCATTAGTGCGGAGCAAATGCCGGCAAACGTATTGCTGAAATCAAAGTATCTTTAACCTATATAAAAAAATCATACCTGTAGCCAGATGGACATAGCAGTTCGGACAGGACAGTGTACAAGCAGTTAAACATGCCAATACCACCGCTCATCACGAAAAGAAGGACCAGATAGGGACCGTTTGTGAAACAAGCCTTCATTCCTAAAATGGAAATTTTCAGCCATAGACCGATAGGAAACGCTCTACTCTATCAGTACACTGACACAGTGCAGCTTTTCAAAAATTAATAGCAAATGTTCCTCACCCGACACGAAATCCATAGGCTTCTGGGCTGCGGAAAAGGTTGGAGGAATCTTCGGCTCTGATCGGTTGACAAACAACGTCGCCAGAATCGCGGCGCCGATGGAAGGAAAGAAGGTGAAGGCATTGAGGTAGACGACATGGCTGGCTTGAGTGACCTGGAAATCAGGGTGATAAGGCTGAAAATCGACTACAAACCATTGCCGGTGAAATAAGGCTGGGAAGGAAGACGCCGAGTGGGTTAGCCATCACGCCAATTGTCGTCGCCAATCCACGCTCGGTGTCGGGGAACCACGCACCAGCAACCTGAAAGCAGTTAGATAACACACCGAAAACGGGGTAATTTCCTTCGAAAACGTTCCAGAAAACATATTTTAGAAAAAAACTACCTTCGTTGGCAAGAACATGATGAACGGATAGGCGATGGCGGCGATTCCCTGGCCAATCAGTGCAACATAGACGCGCGAAGGGTTAGCCAGGAAGGAAGCCGCAAAACGGATGAACGCGCCGATACCGTTGGCCCATCCTAAAAAAACATTTTAGATGTTAATCATTGATAAAGTGCGCAATAATTTGCATATATAACTACGCTCACCAGCGATCAGGATAGCCGAGCGAAGACCGAGACGACCGCTGAGGTACATCGCCACGAAACCAACCGGAATCGTAACCGCCATGTAGACGAGTGAGAAACTGAAAACTCGTGGAAATCTGAAACTGCCTTACCGGCCGGCCCATGGTCCACCAAAGAACGTGTTGACGTGATTCGATACAGGGGCGTAGGCGATCCAGGAGATTGTGTTCGTGTTGTTCAACAAAGCGACGATCAGCAAAATCAACCAGCGTCGACGGTACACCCTAAAGAATAACAATTCATCGGTACATCAGCAAAAAAATCTCGGAATCAGAAAAATACCATACCTCAACTGCATAACATCTTCCTCCTCTTCTTTGCCTTCCTTCAGGCTCTAAAAACAAATAAGCAGAAAAATTGCAAATTATACCTTAATCGAAGCCTGTCTTTCGCATGCCTTGTAGGGATTCTCTTCCTGAAAATCAATGCTCATCGCAGGAATGGAAATGCGTTAGAAATAGGCCGGCGAATGCTTCTTTTGACTACTGATTGTGGGGGGCAATGCTCGTGCTTTCAGCGGAGGGCGCTTTTTTCTTTTGAATGGCCATGTGCTG